TTTTAAAGATTTTATTTATTTATTTGAGACAGAGAGAATGAGAGAGACAGAGAGCACATGAGAGGGGAGAGGGTCAGAGGCAGAAGCAGGCTCCCTGCCGAGCAGGGAGCCCGATGCGGGACTCGATCCCGGGACTCCAGGATCATGACCTGAGCCGAAGGCAGTCGCTTAACCAACTGAGCCACCCAGGCGCCCCTCTCCAGACATTTCTAAATGTCTCGTTGGAGGCAAAAATCACCTCTTTGAGAACCACTACTTGAATCCACTCAAAGCATTCACTTTGCTTTGGTATCTCTGCCTCCAAGTCTCATGTGCCTGGTATAGAAAATGCTGAACTCTGAGAGTATTTGAAATCTTATTTATTTTAGGTACATTTCATAAACATGTCTAATTTTCAGAATATTTAAATAAGTACCTTACTCTCAAATACACAGGAAAAGTATTTTAAATCCCATGTTGCAAATAAGGACTTCAAAACACAAATGTTTGAAAGAATGCGTCAAGTTGGTAGAACTCAAAACACGGAACAGGGTTTGAATTTTACATCCGCAAACTCAGGAGCAGACATGGAGTAACTCTTGGCTTCTCCATCTCCATTTTCCTCATCTATTAAATGACTGTTGTAATCCTGGCTCTGCCCCCTCACAAAGTTCTTGGATGGATCACGTCAAAAGATGCATATAAAAGTACAAAAGATGCGTTTATTACTGTTGATTTGCCTCCTGGACACCCAGAAAAGTAAGGGTACAGCTGAGACTGAAAATATCACAGCTAATATTCTCTTTCCTTAAACTAAGTGTGACAAATGTGTGGGCCCCGCTCTCCTGACTGGGCAGATACTGCTAATTAATCACAGATCCACTTCCTGGTGTGACCCCAGAACTTAGCAGCACACTCCAAGCAACTCTAAACTAAAGGTCAAATTTTGAACTTGAAACTAAATCTAGGGCGCCTGGGTGGCTCAGTCGTTAAGCGTCTGCTTTCAGCTCAGGTCATGGTCCCAGGGTCCTGGGATCGAGTCCCATGTCGGGCTCTCTGCTCAGCAAGGAGCCTGCTTTTCCCGCTCCCTCTGCTTCTCCCCCTGCTGTGCTCTCTCTCTCTCTCTCTCTCTCTGTCAAATTAATAAATAAAATCTTTTAAAAAAAAAGGAAAGAAACTAAATCTATTGGTTATTTCTATATTCGGCAATGCTGCCACTTGGTTCCAAATCCTTCAGGGATCAGCTACTTTATACCTTATTTTTTACATGAAATATTAATATATGGGTGTTTATTCATATACTGTGGCAAGCAAGTCAGGTATAATCCACAAATCCAATGTTTATCTCAGACCGTCCAAGTGTGAGCCTGTGATGAGTCAAATCTCAAGCGTCATTTGGGAACCAAGTGTCAGAACACTAGTTCTCAGACTCTAGAGGACGTCTGATTTTCCTGTAGAGCTTGTAGAAATGCAGATTGCTGGGCACACCTTCAGAATTTCTGATTCAATGAGTCTTTGACAGGCTGGAGAATTTGCATTTCTAACACATTCCCTAATAATGCTCATGCGTACTGCTGGTCCAGGGAGCACATTTTGAAAACCACTGCACCAGTGAAAGACAACGGTCTCAGAGCAAGAAGATTTCGGCTTGAGAAATCCTTCTGGTTTTTTCTGATTTCTGTAATCTTGGGGAAAGGCAGGCCTTTCTGGCTTGAGGCTAGTGCTTTGTGAAGTGACTAATGAAAACTGATCTGCTTACCTCAAAGAGTTGTTTTAAAGATTAAATTACATAGAGGATGTGGAAGAGTCTTACAAATGGAAAAAGCTCTAGATGAGTAAATGCTTATTAGTGCTTTTGTTGTTATTTGGGGAAGGTGCCTTTTTAGCCTGGGCATTCAACATCTATTTATGGACCCACGTCCTCCTGGGCGGCTGACCAGGTTTTCTCTCCTCTCCCACAGCCCTGGGATCACTGCCGCAAGGAGCTGTATGAAGCATGTCTCTACACAATATTCCCGCATCTTTCTCAGGGTTAACCAGAGTCTACATGAAGGAAATGGTTTCAGAATGTTCTGGATGTTTGGCCCATGGCATTATTCCCCTTTGCGGGTCTATAGGGACTAAAGGAAATCTGTCAATCAGAGATGAACTAGGGTGGAACTGTCAGCCATTGGCAGTCACTCCTCAGAGATTTGCTCGTGACTCATGACAGCGACTTGCCAGGAGGAGGGGGAGGAAATCATCTGGAAAACACCCTCCCTCAGTAAAACTGAAACTAACATTCTGGAAAAGAGAGAGAAAAGTGAAAATAATGGTGAAACAAACTCAAGGTCCCCCTTAGGATCTCTATCAGTCTCAGGGTAAATTATTTCACTGGTAGTAGAAAGATCTTGACGTTCAAGTTCCTGGTTCAGACACTGGTTTGATCGTGTGTCATCAGAGATGTTATTTCCCGATTGTTATAGTCTAAAGAACTCCATGGAGGCAAAGGCCACCTCTGTCTTTTTCAGAGCTGTATCCACAGTGACAGATCAATGACAAACATGGCTGCTCAATAAATATTTATTCGGTAAAACTCTCCTAGCCTCAGTCCCCTCGGTGTCAAACAGGGCTAAGAAGGCACAGTTCTCAGGGCTCCTATAAATAGAGAGCTAACGAACAATGTCCAGAACACAGTAGGCCCTCAATAAGAAGAGGCTGCAGTTCATGGAAGTGAATGTACCAGTAAACACATATTTTTTGTTCTTAATGTCTATTCATTTAACTTACAGGCATTAACTCCTTTGAAATCTTTTGGGAACTAATGTTTTAATTATCTTTTAATAATCCTAGAAGGAAAAGAATTAACTTAAGCACAATACATCTCTGTTTTGACTTTAAGCTCATGGCACAACTAACTGTCTCTAATGAGATAAACAGAAACATTTATTCACAAGTCAACACTACCTTTCTGTTTTAATATAATTCTGTTAATTTTATGTTAATTGCATGATTTTCAGAACCTCACTTTTTTTTTCCCAGGAGACAGAGTCCAGGGGAAGGAACAGAATGAAGATCAACCCAGAGCTCTGAAAGAAAATAAAAGCAGTAAGCCCCTGAGAAACCAAATGTGGTCCTTGAGTTCACAGTCTGCTTAGATAAATGTAGAGGAATAATTCTTCACCTACGACTGTCTCTGAAGGGTCTGGAGAGTCAGGAGCCACTAAAAGAACCTTTAAATGGCTAGAAAAAAACTTGTTCTCATCACAAGACTTACCTGGAAAACTTGCACTTTGTTCACCTAGAAGGACCATGGGGAGTTATAACAGTCTCTCTCAAACCAGACCCATTCGTTCCTTTATTCATTGATTCACCTCCTCTTGTCTAGTTACTGGGAAGAAGCCCTGTTACGTGATCTTCAGAATCCTTTGCAATGCCGAAGGGCAAGCCCCAGGAAAGTCTACTCCTGGAAGTTCTGAGAATCCCAGGTTTATATATACTCACAAGCAAATTCAATCAGGTAGGAAGTGGTATTAACCTTTTCCTTTTACTCTGGTCCCTCTCTAACAGATCTATTGCCGTTGCCTCCAGACGTGGGCATGTTCATCTTCCCCTGAAATCCCTGATGTACCAAAGTGCACGCAGTTCTTGCTTTCAGTGATTGGTTCTTTTCTACGTGGAGAACAAAGCACGGCCCAGGGGCTTTCAAAGTTCCTTGTAAAAAAATATTTTGCAATTGTTCCTTCTAGGACTCTTTTTGGAAAAACATGAACACATCTCTGTATGAACCAGGGTGATACCATCAGAAGGGCAGACACTGGGAGCCATTCTTCCTAAAACCTGACTTTCTTGGTTCTCTTTTCTTGAGGCGACTTGTCTTCCAGGACACTCCATTATGGACAAATCTGAAGCTCATGCTGGAACATCCTTTTCCGTTCCAAATTGTGCTTGCTATCTCAGCCTTGAGCCCCAGCTTTTGTCTTTTCAGCATCTGTGGACCGCCCCCCTACTCACTTGCCAACTATATCTGTACTTCCATTGCCCGCTAATTCAGCCTTGACTCCCTTTAATGGCTAATTTCCCAGCCCGGATGGTCATTTCATAAGACCATAGTCATAATCCCTCCAAGTGGAACGGATTTGGGTCAGGTCCCAAAACTAAGATAAAACCGGCCTTATAATCGGCTGAACTTTATTGAGGTCTCTGTATCAAGCCCAGCACTAATAGTAATAGGAAACCTTGATAGTGTGCTTACCACTGCCACGCCCTGTGTGCTTTGCATTAGTTAACTCAGTTTTCTTTATAGCAATCCTATGAGGCCGGAACTATTATTACCCCATTTTGCAGATGAGAAAACTGAGGTGCATACAGCTAGCAAGTGGCACTGCGGTGGATCTGAGGCCAGACGATCTCCCTCCAGAGTCCATATTCTTCCCTATGTCCTAGTACTGTCCCGGGAAAGGGTGATGCGCTTTCTAAGGCTTAGCTCAATGAATCATCATCGCAACTCTATGAGATTATTACTGTTGTCATTCTCATTTTAATTTGGAAAAACAAAGGTGCAAAAAATAAAGTCCTGCAATTTATTCAGCATGGAAGTGGAATGGAAATTCACATATGACTGATACCCAAGCCCATGCCCTGAATTGCGGTTCTATTTTATATTCATCCACAGGCATCTCCCTCGTTAGCCCTGCCCATGACACCTGACCCCAGTGTTGCTCAAACTTAAGTGATGTCTGATATCATGAGACATATAAGAAAAAAGTATTTTGAACCCCAATGTTGATTTAAAATACTATGTTTCATAAATATATACAAATATAAAACTATATACGTACTTTCTATGCTTCAGTTCTTTTATGATGACAAACCCCAAATTTGTTTACAAATCAAATAAGAATAAAACCAAAAAATCAATATAATTTCAATTAGTATGAATAACCCCGACTGTCATTTCAGTGCAAGGTTTGATAGGAAAGGTGTGTCCTGAAATGACACTTGCAATGTGCCCGTGGTGACGATTGCTATGAAGCACTCACTTTGAACTTGGAGCTCCCAACCAGCATATATCCTGTGATAATGCAATCTCCCACTTGCGGTCTTTCTTTCAAGTCCCGAGGAACTTTGGTGCATTCAACATCATTTGGTTTTCACATGCACAAAGACATTTGCATAGTAAGTTCATCTTTGTTCCTACATAATTGGGCCACTGTAATGAAAATAGCTTAATTTGGTGTTGATCTGTCCATGATGTTGATCTGTCCACCACACAAGGCACATCAGGCTAGTCCCTTAACAAACTCCCGTGGAGGGTGAAGACAAGTTTGATCCCTTAGTGAACTTCATTTGAAGGTCACCTAAAATGGAAAGGTCTCCCTGCAGCTCTGAGTCTTCAACAGCAGGAAACACTTAAGGGCCTTTAAAAAAACAAAACAAAAACTTAAAATGCTATCTCAAAGTAGACCTGTAGAAAATACCCAATATACACTATTGCACAAGCATGTACACACAAACACACGCACACTGCTCTTTATGGTGTATTAAATGCTAAGTTAAATTCAAGTTTAATGTTAAATGTTCAGTGTCATGTTCAAACATTAACTCTGGATGAAGGGAAATACATTTTAAAAACTCAGAATTGTTTCCATAGGTAAGAAAACGGAATGCCTGTTACTTCCATTACCAGCAAACACAGCAACACTTTGATATTAATGTGTAAGATTTTGATTCAAAATTGAGTTGCATGTTCTGGCTTCTAAGTCAAGAAAGAAAGGGACCTGGAAGGGAATCAGGTGGAGGTCAGTCATGGAAGTCGTTTTTTTTCTTTTTGCCGTGGTGCATGGAAGAGAGCAGACTGACCGGGAGAAAAGGAGCTAATGTAGTCCTCTGAACATGAACTTCTGTGACCACAGGAGCACAGAGGTTCCAGAGTGGAGCAAGCTGTGGGATAATTGCACTCCTGGGACCAGGGAGCTTTGTATACCTTCTGGGAGGACTGAGAACCCTGTAGTTAGAAGGATTAACCTGTAGGAAATTGAGGGAAAAAGAATTCAAATTGATAAAGCTTCTGTTTTCAAAATGGAAAATGTCATTTCAGGAGATATTGATCATTTGTGTGTATTAAATAGTCGTGACACTCAATAATAGCAATAAACTAATATTTATTTGCATTTTTCTTTATGTAGATTATTTTATTTGGTCCTCTTGATGTCAACAACCACATGAGGTGGCCATAATTAATAGGTAAGGAAATTTGGCCATGCAGAGGTTAAAGAATTTGCTCGAGGTTACACATCTATCAGATGACAGAGCCAGGATTGGGGTCTAGGTTTCCACAATCCCTAAACCAGAGCTCTTAATCCCTAGCACCAAACTTCCTTCCAAAAAGCACACCCCAGGTAATCAAATCCTAATAATATAATTCACCTTAGCAATTAGCTGTCAAGCCACTTGTAATAGAGTTGACACACCTGAGACCCAGAGATATTAAATGAATTTCTCAAGGTTATACAATTAGAGGTAAAACCGGTTTCAAATTCCCGGGATCTTCTATTACATATATTATTATTTAATATAAAAACTATTCACATTCTATGTTTTAAGTCTAATTTAATTCCCACAATTCTGTGCTTTCAGTAGATAATTTTTTATATAAAGATTTTATTTATTTATTTGAGAGAGAGCAAGCGAGCATGAGCAGGGGGAGGGGCAGAAGGAGAGGGAGAAGCAGATTCCCTGCTGAGCAGGGAGCCCAGCTTGATCCCAGGACCCTGGGATCGTAACCTGAGCCAAAGGCAGATGCTTAACTGACTGAGCCACCCAGGGGACCCAATAACTTTTTAAATATTAATTTCATAGATGAGAAAATGGAGGCCTAGAATTTGTAAAGTAATTGAGTACTAATCTCAAATTTAATGGTTTTGACTTCTGTTAAAACAATCATAGTTGAATATAAAATGGAATTATCCCTGCCTTTTCTGTTAACTTTGGCCAAGCACTGCTGTCTCAGGCTGCGATGCTGGCCATCAAGCTAATTCAGCTTCCTGATGGGTTTTTTTCATATTTGAATGCCTTCTGGCTGGTTTCCAGTTTTCCTAAGCCCCATTACCTCTCATCGCCACAATCCAACAGTCCCTGAAAGCATGTGAGTGTAAGTTTGTACCAGCAGAATACTTAGAAACTAGAGTGACAGGCTATCTTGTTTCATCCAGGACTAAGAGGAAGGAAGTTTTCAGGACATGGCATTTTTAGTGCTAAAACCATGAAAGGGTAGGGAAAACCAGAGTAGGTTAGTAAGCTTATTAGGTATCTGTGATGTATAGTGTGTGTGGGGGGGGGGGGGACGACATTGGAGTCTAGCTTGATAAACACCTTCCAAGTATCATTCATTCCTTCATTTCAATGAACATTTATTTTCTTCTCTATGCCACACAACTGCTAAGCACAAGTGATCAGAGTAGGACAGAGAACCTCTGTCTTCAACAACTCCAGCATCTAGGAGATGGAGATAAGGCAAACTTACAATCACCTAGAACTCAGGCAGAATGATGAAAATAGCACTGGACGTCCAAACTCATGTTTGTGTCTCTCTATTCACAACATGGTGATGTGGCTCGCACTTGGCAGCTACCCTGTATCGCTGACGTTCCCGGGAATCTGAACTCTCCACCTGACAAGGTCAATGCGATGAAGGCTACCTTGCTAATGGTAAGCATAAGTTCTTAGCTGTTTCTAGGGGAATCCAGCTTTTAATAGGAAATCCAAGCCTCTAACAGAAAAGTCATTCTTATGGGGAAATCAATAATTATGAGATAGTTTCTTTTTTATATACATGCAAATGCCTCTTAGTTGATTTTACACAGGCACTGACAGCTTTGTTGAACATGAGCTGTTTTTTCAGGTGAACCCGTGGGGTGAATGAACCTCGGAAGACCTCTCAGGGGTATTAGCTGTGGAACACGAGGAGAGCGTATGGGAACTAAGCTATGAAAAGGAACCTTATTGGGGCGCCTGGGTGGCTCAGTTGGTTAAGCGACTGCCTTCGGCTCAGGTCATGATCCTGGAGTCCCAGGATCGAGTCCCACATCGGGCTCTCTGCTCAGCGGGGGGTCTGCTTCTCCCTCTGACCCTCTTCCCTCTCGTGCTCTCTGTCTTTCATTCTCTCTCTCTCGCAAATAAATAAAATCTTAAAAAAAAAAAAAAAAGGAACCTTATTACCATTTTCCAAACTGCCACAAGCTCTGTACATCTGCTGGTAAAGACTAAGGAAACAAGTCAGTAGGGGCCCAATGTATCCATCTGTATCATGGACCATATCCACTTAACAATCCAACAAACCTTCATGAATCGAATCTATTGACACAGAGGGAAGTATTAGAGTGAAGAACAGAGAGGAAGACTTCAAAGAGGAGGTCACACTTGACTGGAGAATTGATGGCTCAGTAGTTGTTCACTCAGAGGGCAAGAGTAGAACTGTCAACTTGGCTAATCAAGAGGTGAGCAGACAGCTATGGATGAGAAAGGTAGGAAAGAAACAGCTATGGCCAAAAGCGGAAAAGAGTTGGCCAGACAGAGGGGAAAGGGTGGGGATAAAAACACAGTATGTAGCAGGTACTGGTTATTGAACTTGAACTCTGTGCCAACCCCAGCTGTAAACTTTACTTGTATTATTTCACCAAAGCCCTGACATCAACCCTATGAAGCCAGAACCGTCCCAGTTTGCAGATGAAAAGCAGACGGAGAGTGATTTGCCTGAGGCCATGCAGATGCCTTGCATGAAGAGCTGGGCTTGGATCCCACCCCTTGAACTCAGCCGGTGCACCCGAATGCGCTTTCTCTCTCTCTCTCTCTCTTTCTCTCTTCATGGCCACACTGCACCGTAATGCGCTCTCTCTCTCTCTCTCTTCATGACCATACTGGGGACACCAGGGTCCCAGCCTAGTGAAAAGAGAAGTCCCTTCCCCAATGTCATCCTTATTTTCCTATCTTCCTACAGATGGGGATCTCTTTCTGGCCGTCGTGGAAGTGCCCTTGAACAGCTCTGTCACACTATGCTCAGAAATAAGAGGCCAGCCAGTTGGTATTAGGCCATATGATTGGTCACAACATCCTGAAAGCAAGAATCTGTGCAGATGTTTTGCTGTAACATTGGCCCCCAAACTTCCCACGTGATGCCCTCCCAGCCAAAGTCACCATTCATTCTCAATGCTCACAGACCGTGCGACTCTAGTTTCCATCCCCAAAAAGGGAAGCAGAGGAAGTGAGCTTGATAGTCCGTTAGTCTTCAAAGCACAGTGCCAAGGCATCAAACAAACAAGTAAATTTCAAAATGGAAAGCCCCCCCCCCAACTAGGACGGGGGGAACCTGCTCCGGGGGCATGTGAGACTGGCAGCTGTGCTGACAGCTGGACCTAATTGGGCTTGGGTCTGGGAAGCCTCTGGTTGCTGCAGGCCGCCTGGCACGCTGCTGAGAGGTGAGATCCAGCGAGACAAGAGTATGACTCTGCATTCCATCGGAAGCCGCCCGGGATACACTCTCTGCTAGGGGACATGGAAACATTCTAACCTACAAAGAAAGGGGCTTTCCATGGATTTCCCAACAATACGCATTTATCTGAACAGGAAAGTAAGAAAAAGCCCCGGCGGTCAGACAGAAAGCAAGTTCTGTCCTCTGCACAGTGCAGTTACTGTTCTGACTTCATTCTTATGGAAGAGACGCCCATGAAATGCACTGTTTTAAATAACTGACTATTTGCTTCTCATTTGAGATGCGTAATCTACTCAATGAAATGGGCCCTTAATAACCCTCTTTTTGAAACAGAACAATTGAGTTAGTTGCTAGTCACACATTTCTGTCTCTCACCCTGAACAAACATCCACGGAGTGAAAGAGGAAACTTTTCGGGGTTCTTCCACCATAGAAGGCTCCTTTCTGCCTTTCTGCCTTTGCTTAAGATGGTCACTTTGTCTAGAAAACTGCTTTCTCTCTGTTTAATGCTTAAGAATCCTTCCAGATAGCAATGATGGTGGTGGTGTGGTGATGGTGATGATGATTGGAATATAAGATTTGTGAGTGTATACTCTGTGCCTGATGGTGCACCCCCAAATCTGCACGGGTTGTTTCATTTATTTCTCAAAGATAAAGGGCTCTTGGTATCCCCCCACCTTTTACATGCAAGAAAACTCAGGCAGAGGACGGTATATTCTTCAAGGCATATAGCAAGTAAGTGCAAAAACACTGCACTCCCCATCAACTAAAAATTTGAAAAATACAGCACACAGCAAATGTGGGGAACAAAATTCTCATACGCTGCTGGCAATAGCGAAAACTTGGAAAATTATTTGGTAGCATTTGGTAAAGTTGACCGTAAACATACAAGTAATTCTACTTGAAGGTATATAGAGGGCCCCACCCTCCC